GAGCCATCGCCAGCAGAGAGATGTTACTGCAGCAAAACACTATTGTACCAACGCTGTTCTAATAAATATATAGACAATGGGTCGTGCTCATATTATTTGTTATATTTTTATTATTCATTATTTTCACTTGACTCGCATAAATAATTTTGTTCGAAGAACATTTTATGCAGTTGTACTTCGCAGCACTTCACTTGCAATTTGCAATTTCTAGTCTTATTATTCTATTGCGTTTACCTGCTTTCAAGCCCGTAAGTTGACTTTTTTTGAATTTGTACACATTATTAATTAGTAATTTTTGGGTAATTAATATTCGAAAATCCAAAGTATAGTTTTGAAGCTTATGTATTAGGGTACAAAATACACCTAGCCTCATCACGTCTGAAGCATCATAACGTGGTGTAATTAAATTTGACGAAATACATAGCGTGGTCTACGTGGGGTTGGTTGAGTCAGGTGATTCAACCATCCCCACGTCAGCGGCCTAGCATTATGTGTACAATTAAGCCTATAATTAAGACTTTGGCTTATTCTTACACACTTGGTTCTAGGTATTGACTAGCACTAGGCCTAGAATAATACTAGGCTAAGATTAAAAAACTTAAATGGCATACCTTGCATTTGTTGTTTTTTTTTTTAATTTTACATGATTTATAATAATTTTGATAATTTTTTAAAATTTTTAGGTCTACCATCATTATGGTAAGAAATTTTAAACGGAAGTCAGAGCGGGGCAAAGACACAGACCTTATACGGCGTGCCGTCAGATCAGTTTTACATGATCAATTGCCTGTCCGTGCCGTTGCTAAAGAATTTGGAGTGTCATATAGCACCCTACAAAGACATGTCAACAAAATTAAAGCAGGTAAATAAACTTAAGATCGTATAATACATATGCCAAGTATTGGAATACAAGTCACCGTGTTGCCATTCAATATTTTGACTACTGTATGTCATCAGAAATAACTTTAAATTATTATTTAAATACATAACTTAACTGAGCAAGTGTAAATACTTTACTATTTTTCTTATCAAAAAATAATGTGCTAATTAGATTTAATTTGTTGTTTTTAGATGCAGATAATCAACTCGGAAATCGGATGGACATTGTAAGAAATGTTTCTACGGCCAAGATCGGTTACCAAAAAAATCGACAAGTGTTTACAGATGAGCAAGAACACCAGCTAGTTCAGTACATTATTCGGGCTTCGTCCATGTATTTTGGCATGACCCCTGATGACATAAGATCCTTTGCATGTGAGATTGCAACAGCTCATGATATTGCCGTTCCTGAAAGTTGGTTGAAAAACAAAAAAGCCGGGAAAGATTGGTTTACATCGTTT